TCCAATTTACAATGCTCTTTAAATCTAGTACATGATAACATTGCTTAGCAAGTTGTTTAAATGAGAAATCAGAACCTGGATAGAGTAAAAATAAACAGAAAAGGCTGCAAAATCCTGTAATGTCTCCACCAGTCAGGTTAGACTGGGATATGGTCCCAGAGTTTCACACAACATGAGGCAATGTGGGTCCCCAGGGGACAGCTCATGGTACACATGGAGGCCCCACTCTCCTACCACGCTGTCATTTCCCCACACATCTCTATAATCCACAGGCAGGTGAGGAGAGGTCATGGTGAATGACACATGGGTTGTACATTTTTCTGCCTGGAAGTGACTCACATGCATTTCACTGGCTGTAGCAAGTCATAGAGTAAGGAAGGTTAAAAAAAAAAAGCTTTATACCCTAAGAAGGTGAAAAAAGTGTTTTACTCTACATTCCTGGAAGTAGAAAAGAACATCACTTTGGTGCTCTTATTACTGCCCATCATTGTCTGCCTTCCTTTTCATTAAATACTTGGTTCTCAGTCCTTGCACAAATAAATATCTTCACTCCCTCCTCCAGGTTCTACTCAAAAGTTCTACAAAAATCAGAATATATACTGCAGATCTAGGGTTTCATTACATAAGGTCTGAGCAGCTGTAACAGAAGCAAGAAAACAGTAATAAATATTTCCACGTGGAAAGAGAAGAACTGGGAAGTGTGCAGGAATTTTGACTGTAGCAATTTTGAAATCCTGTTTGACTGGATCATAGGTACCCCATAGCCAGACATGTAGGACCCTGGTTCTGCCTTTTGGGAACGGCTCATATTCTTTTTTTTTTCTGTGGTCCCTTGGCTCTATTCCCTGAGAAGTTCAAACATTTTTTTTTCTCCTAGTAATCTTTTCATCCACACATGAAATGATTCTGGGGCTTTAGTTTCTTTTCCTCAGTGGTTGGGGGTCTCAGCATTGGTTTCTGATTAATCTTGAGAGCTCTCTCAAAAACTTAGTAAACTTCTTATATAAGTTATGTTTTTTGAGGCACAATTCTCAGAACACTATATTTCTTTGTTTTTATATCCTGTAACTTTTCCTTTCTTGATTTAATGCTAGATTACTAGAAATATATGTATATATTATTATTTTTGAGACAGAGTCTTTTTGTATAAATCAGCCTCTCCAACTCACACTCCTTCTGCCTTCATCTCCCTAGTGTAGGGATTACTGACATAGGCCACCAAGTCCAGTGCTTACAGCCAAATTCTCACACATTTTATTGTAGTTCCTTAGGGCTAAATAAAAGGGTTTATTTCATGCTTCATTCTGATTCTTTTCCTTAGGGAATTTAATTGGTCAAAAGGTTTTACTAGGCATTTCTCCCTTATCTTTTTCTATCTTATCTCTTACTTTGGAAAGATAGAAATAGTTGTACCTTTTTTTGCAGTTTTACAGGACTCTGGTTCTTTATTCCCTTTGTATTTTGTTTGTAAGCCTGTCAGCTCTTTCCTGAGCTCATTTCTTTCTTGTGTTACTTTGTCAAGTGCAAAAAATAGTATCCAACACCCATATTTACCATTCAGTTTTCTGATCTCTATCTAGAGCTACAGGTACACCTCTCACATTATTGCAGGCAGTAATTTTGCCATTATATAACAGACCGCTGTTTATCCAGCTTACAATTTGGTTGCCCTCATGGACTGCCACCTGATCACTGGCACAATGCCATTATTTATAAGCATTTGTAATGGTAGCACCTCACTTCTAGGCATTGATTCCTGTATCTTTGGACATATTGCTGTGTATGGAAACATGTCTGGAGATTCACCATTTTGAAACAAGGACAAAACCTCTTGAAGTTGGATTTGTAAGACTAAAAGTATACATTTATTCCATCAATATATCCAGTAATCTCATGTCATTATCTTATTGGTTAATAGATGTCTGTGTGTTTTCTAAAACTAAGCTTATTAAGGTAGCGTTTGTAACAGTGCAGTCTACTACCTGCAATAGTAGTCCCAATACATATAGTAGGGGGATAAAAACTTGCTGATTTGTATGTTTCACCAGATATGAGGCTGTATATAACTATTTCTGAAATGACAGTCTTCTGGTGTTTCTTTCTAGGGGCTCATGGAGGGAGTTGTGTGTGGAGTGTCAGTGTGTTGAATGACAGCTCTGATGCATTATTAAAACCCTCAAAGCTGGTGATGGCTTGGATGATGGGAGGTACAGGATAGTCAGTGAAGTACTTTCACCTTGGTCAGGCATGTGCTCATTATATATTCATTACTAGCACATGTTTACATTGCAAGAAATGCTCAATAGATGTTACATGAATTGTGATCTGGATCTGTTGATTTAGTTTGAACTTGGTGATAACCAGTTACTAGTTTGGCATCCTGATGAGATAATTATTTTCACCCTGAAGAGGAAAACTGTGACCACTAGATATGAAGGTTAGTGTTGGTTTCTTCTTACATAAAAGGCCATTTTGTTCTCCCATGCAATCCAGCAAATCTCTTGAATTGAATCAGGTCCTCTTAGTCCAAAATGATTTAGTTGCTCCTTCTTTCAAGATAACTGGCATATTTCCCCATGCATTGAGGTATGCCTCTGAATAGAAGAGATCATTGAAGAGAGTGACTGTATTAGACAGCTTTCTGTAGCTGTGACAAAATAATCTGAAAAAACTCAACTTAAAGGAGGAAGGATTTAGTTTGGCTCATGGTTTCAGTCCATGGTCACTTGGATCTATTGTTTGTGGGCTGTGCTGAGGCAGAACATTATGGTGTTCTGAAGCATGTGGTACCTCATGGTGGCTGGAAGGAAGAAAGAGAGAGAGAGAGAGAGAGAGAGAGAGAGAGAGAGAGAGAGAGAAAATATATCCTTCATGGGAACACTCCTAATAATCCACTCCTTCCAATCAGGCTCCACCTCCCAGTTTCTACTACCACTGGTGAAGTTATGAATCCATAAATGGATTAATCCTTTGATGAGGTCAGAGCCGTCATGATCCAATCACTTCCCAAAGGCCCCACCTGTGAACACTGCTGTTTGGGGACCAATGGACATTTCAGAACCAAATCATAGTAGTGAATGCCTTTACCCACTCAATTCAATCCAAATCAAAGTTCTATTTCATACTTGGCTAAGGTAGTATTAGTGACACAAGCAAAGCTAAAAGCAAACAGCATGCCTCTTGATTTCATGCAGTTAGCTTCCTGTGTACATGGAACATCATACCGGGTAAGGCCTTAAAGTTCTCTTTAAGATGGGCTGAGGGACTTCAGTCCAGCTAAGGAACTTGTTCTGAATCTGTGCTTGTACAGAAAATGCATTGTTTTCATTTAGATTGGATATTTGAGAATGCATATTTGGAGAAACAGGCTGTAGAGATTTTGGGGGAGTAGCTGAAGTTACCTGAAACCGATGAAGACCCTGAAAAACTATCCTAAAACCTATAAGCAAGTGAAGATAGATGAGGTATAAGCTCAGAGATAGTGAGGAAGAGAACAGCACCTGAGAGAATTACTCAAGAAACTCTTCTCTTTCTCTCCTTTTCTTTTTTTGGCGGTATTGTGGTTTGAAATCAGGGCCTTGTGCTTGCTAGGCAAGTTCTCTCCCACTTGAGCCACACTTTCAGCACTTTTTGTTTTAGTTATTTTTTCAGATTGGCTCTGGCTAGCCTTCAACCACTATATCCTCTTATCTACACCATCCGAGTTGCTGGGATTATAGGAGAAAACCACCTGTTCTTTGAGACAGGGCCTCACTAATTTTTCCCCCCTTAGCCTACCTGTTATCTCAATCCTATCTCCACTTCTCAAGTAGGAGTTAAACTTCTGATTATTCCAGAGGAGAGGTGCAGAGAAGACTTCACAGGCATAGAGAGGAACAATGTGGATGAAAGGTCCATGATCACAGAATTTTGATCAGTTTTGGAGGTCCTGCAAACAAACCCAAGAGCAGCTTCTTTTTCATTTTCTTCAGCTACAAAAATGGAGAGAGTTGTTCAAATAAGTTAGCAATAGAGGAAAATAACTTTGTGTTTCTAGAATGTGTTCTAGCACTTTGAAAAGAGCACATGAAATTTTACCTGATCTTAATAGAGGTCTTAAAAAAGGAAATCACTGTTTTGTTTTTTTAAAAATAATATCTGTGTCTTTCAGGATGCAACACCTGGCATATAAAATGTACTTAATGGATGCATGTCGATTAAAACAAAACCTAGACAAATGAATTTCTTGCAGAGAATTTTAAATTATGTATAGGATCACTTAAAGGCTTCTTTTGCTAATTTGTTATGGTTAAAAAAAATGATCCTCAATCAGAGATAGCCCTTTATATGTTGTGTGAATAATGATTATTTATTAAGACCCGTAGGGGTCTAATCATAGGATTAGAAAAAATTAGTTCAGGGAGACCAAAAAACTACCCAGGGATGTAATTTCTGAATCTCTGACACCATTCTTTTTTTTTTTTTTTTTTTTTTACTTTTTGTTTTCCCATCCAAAAAATAGAGCTAAAGGTGACTTCTCTTGTTTAATAGAAAGTTTCACTAAGGATGACTTACCACTCATTTTAATCACAACTCAGATTGCATGTCTGGGAAGTAGAACACAGTGCATGACAAAGGTATTAGCAATTTATGGAAGAACAAAAGATCATGACAGTAATTTGTGACTTGGTTCGTCTCTATAGTAATTTAAGAATTTCACTATAATTTGAGGGTAATGGGGGTGGAAGTGGGGCAGAAGAAAATGAAGATTTGGTCATTTTTCCGTCATCCCTTCTTAGGATCCCCCCTAGGTTCCCCTTCAGGAAGTGGAATAGAAAAAAAAAAACTGCATTCGTCAGTAACTCTGGGTCAACCACAACTTACAGAGAGTAAGCAGGTCAGTGGAAATAGGGACAGTGATTGCTATAAAACCAACAGGTACTCTTGTTGACAGACATACCCAGAGAGACATACTCACACAGAACTTCCTGCACAGGTCAAGCAACCAGAGGAAAATCACAATGAAGAGTCTGCGTGATCCAGCCATGGTGAGTAGTCATGGAGAATTCCAGTTCAAGGATAATCATATACAGCATTTCACAAAAGTAGATTTCTAAGGAATTAGATTTCATTGGAATCTTCTAAAAATTACTTCTTTAAGACACAAAGCTGACTTTACTTTTGACTCTTGTTTGGACCTGAAAAGAAAAAAAGAATAAGAAAAGTTATAATGGGGGGCAAAGCACAGCTCTTTGCCTGATGGCCTTTGCTCAAGAGGTATTAATATTTGTAGTCTTTGTTATCACAGATGACTGCTGTGGCCTCTCCTGGGGCACTCATTATAGAGTTAGATTGGCTTAAAATTTCTCATAGTAGCAGCTTGGTCAGTCCTTTAGGGAATATGTACATATGTATTTTACCCAAAGAAGTTGGGTCCCCAAGTGGTTTAATGTTTCTCCCAAGGCCATATGAATGCCCTGGATGAAGTGAAACTACCCAGTGTTGAACTTTTGGACAGCTCCTGGATGAGGGAAATTTCCCATGTCTCTCATAGATATTGTTTATTGTTTTTTCATTGTCTTCTTCCTCTTAGAGGCAAGAGAGATGTTAATGTGATGGAGACATACCCTCCTTCCTTTGATACTGCCTCTTGGCTGGTGTTAGTTAAGTAAAGCCTTGGAAGAATTTAATATAGATGTGCATGGAAACAAGGCTTACTTTAAGTAATCTTTACATTTTCTGGTGGAGGAAACTGAGTCAGTGCTAGTAGGAGTCTTGGTACTGATTTATAGACCCTAGACAATTGACTAGATCCCATGCCCTCAGTCACCACACTGTAAAGTCAATAATTAGGCGTTGAATGAACGAGTGAATAGTCCTGCTGATTATCTGAAGGCAAATCAGTCTCTTTCTGGCTTATCTGAGTCAATCTTGCTTTCAACTTCTTTCTAGCATTAGCTACCTCAGTATAGCAAGGTGACACCATGACCTTTTTGCTTACTGTTCTCATTTCTTGCCTCTAGCATCTATGAAAACAAAGGAAGGCTTTTAAACCAGCACTTCTAATCACCTCCCCTAACTGGAAAATGTGAACCCTAAAAAAATTGTGTTCAGAAAAATAAAAGCAACTCAGTTTCAGCTCTTGTTCTGCATTACTGTAGGCTTGTCCATCTGCAGTAAGAGCAAGTGGTGATGGTGGGGCGAGCAAAGAATGTTTGTGACAAAGAAAAAGCTCAAGATTTTTTGCTCATTTTTTAGTTAGGTTTTCACAGAGTGTTTTCTTTGTGCATTCCTCTACCACCAGATAAACTGATATTTCAACTTTAGTGTAAATAATACGTTCCTGTGCTAACAAGAAATAGTTCCTGTATTTTCTGCAGTTGTGTGTCATCAGTGTGTTCCTGCTTCTTTCAATTAGCATGGATAATTGGAACTTTGCTATAGTTGGTTTTGCATAGTGCTTTTCTTAATGCACTGAACTTAACCACACTGTTTAACTGTATCATTCTGTTATTCATTCTCTCACCCATTTTTCATTCATTCAGAAAGTTATTAAGGGGCACCATTACTATGCACATTTTCTTGCAATCTACTGGGTGTAAATCTGATATAAATGCAGATACTATATTTCTAGGGAATATAAAAATGCTGCTTGAGTGATAACTGGTAAAAGCTTTATTATTTACTGATGGTTAAGGTGCTTCTGATTGAACCACCTCTGAGCAGGAACTTGATGGAAGAGTAGGATTCAACAGACAAAAGTGAAGCAGTGTATTCTAAGAGGAGTGATTCTGTGGGGAAGATTTTGTGGAGATTTGTGGATATGAAGTGGAAAATATAAGCAAGAGCTATCACTTATTAAGCCACTCTTTTGCTAGACAGATTTATAGGCATTTTACATACAGTATTCCATTTATCCTTGTTAACATAATTGTAAAGTGAATATCTAATTGGGAAGAAACAAGTCAGGGGTTTAGCAAGGAAGCCAGGGCATGATTTAAACCCAGTCTCAGACTTTGACATCTCTGTTTCCCTGGTAGACTATGGAGGGCTTTAATCACCAGACTTCTGAGGTTGGTTTTCAGTTTGGCATCCTGGTATCCTCAGGTATGACTGTCAATCTCCAAGTGAGGACCTGAGGTATAGAGAGAATCCCTGATCCCATAAAAGGATCAGAAATGCTGAGTTCAACTGGAGCATGCATCATCTCATACAGGCAAGTGGTCTTGGAGTCTCTAAACATCTGCAATCTTTTCTATTTTCTAGGTCAAGTTCCTGTTGCTGTTGATGTTGGGGCTCGCCCTCTTGAGGGAGGTAGCAGCTCGGAAAAAACCCAAAGCAGGGGATCCTTCTCTGGGGATTGCTCAGAAGAAGGCTGGGAATTGCCCACCTCTGGAGGAGAACAGTGTAAGGGTTGACATCCGCATTCTCAGTCAAAACCAGGGCATTCCCATCTCCCATGACTTCCAGAACCGTTCCAGCTCCCCATGGGATTACAAGTAAGTGCACAGGAGATAGGTCTTTACGTTTTTTGAAAAAAAAAGTTAATTTATTTTAATTATGAAAAACAAATCTTATAATATATAGGAAAAATAAAAGTCCTTATATTCACTCTTCACAGCAGAAGTTCTACTTTCCCCAGAGCTCAGATTTTTCTTGCTGCTTTAGTCTGGGTCCACTTATGTGGTTGAAAGTCCTAACATTTTGCCTCCATGTTCTCTTTGACCCTGTGCTCCTTTCTGCTTTGTGCAGTTCTAGGTTGGAATTTACAAACTTTATGTGTTGAAAGAGAAGGTCCTTTAAATAGTCCACCTTATTATCTCTGCATGAGGATAGGTGGGAATCAGAAAAGTCAGTTTAGGTGGATCTTCTCATATTAGACATCCTTTGAGGAGTGGGAGCAAGGGAAGAGGGGAGGAAGGCCAGTTTGGGAAATGGGTCTTAGGTGGGTTTTGTTTTAATACATGGGTCCTAGGAACACCAAGCACTCACATTTACTCTCCAAGTATAAGACTGAAACAGATTCTAGAAACACAGAAGTTCTTGGAGGTTGCTATATATCCCCCCTCTCTCCCCCCCAGAGGAGCTTGCACAGTAGTAAATTGGCTGACTGATTTTGCTGTCTGTGCCTCTAGGAGAGGCAACTAGTGAGAGGAACTGTTCACAGACCCTTTGGGGCTTTGGTTTTTCATTCCAAGAAGCAGGTTTTATAGATTGTAAATTGGGAGACCTAGTTAGGTAAAAGATGAGTAATAATTACAGTCACAACAATACAAATTAAAATAAACTAAAAGATCTAACACTAATGCTAATATTGTATATAGGGTGTTTCACATGCATTTGTATCACTGAATGCCCTCAACAATTCCATGGGAGAATGATGTATGAGAAGCTCCATTTTATTCTTTTATTATATTATTTTACTGGGGTTACATTGTGACATTTACAAAAGTTCTTACACTATATCATAGTTGAATTCACCCCCTCCATCATTCTCCTTTATTCCCCCTCCCTCTATTCCTGAAGTAGTTTCAATAGCTCTCATTTTATTCTTGAGGCATAGGGAGTTAGGCAGTTGCCAGAGGGTGGACTATGAATTTAGGCTACCTGGTCCCAGAGCCTGTCTGCAGCCTCATGTCACTCAGATCCACCCTCTGCAGGTGAATGCCCAATGCTGCACTGGACAAGGGCATTCCTTTCTTGTCACTTTCCTTGCCTTGCCTTACCATCCTGCTTTGCTTGTTCCTCCTGCAGCATCACCCGGGACCCCCACCGGTTCCCCTCGGAGATTGCAGAGGCCCAGTGCAGACACTCAGGCTGTATCAATGCCCAGGGGCAGGAAGACAGCTCCATGAACTCCGTTGCCATCCAGCAAGAGATCCTGGTCCTTCGGAGGGAGCCCCAGGGCTGCTCTCATTCCTTCCGCTTGGAGAAGATGCGGGTGACTGTTGGTTGTACCTGTGTCACCCCCATCATCCACCATGTGGCCTGAGAGCAGCGCTAGCTGGGGAAGCTGCAGAAATGCCACTCCTTACCCAGCACTCCATGCCAAGTCCTCTCTGAGCCCCACCTCTTCCTATTCTCACAGCAGTACCTTTCTGAGGTTCTTCACAATTATTACACAGTCCTGACATGCTCCCATGTCCCGACCCCTTTAAGAGTTAAGGAACCCTTGGTCCACATTCTTTATGTTATGTGATGGCTACCTCCTAGTCACACCATCACCCAGCCCCAGTGCCATTCCGCTAGGGCTCTGTGGGGGAAATGGGGACATGCCCCATGTAGATGGAAATGCAGACAATATAATCATAGTGTATGAGTGGTGAGGTGGATAGGCAAGGATGTAGGAAGCATTTGCTAAATATAAATTAAGTTTGCTTAACTACTAGACATTTATAAATGTAAGGGAGCTATCAGTATATTTATGACCTTTTTTTTCTGTGAGACTGGGGTTTGAACTCAGGGCTTTGCACTCTGTCACTTGAGCTACATCTCCAGTCTATTTATGACCTATTGGTTATATAAAATGTTAACAGAATATTAATATATCCAGTACTAATAAAACATTATTAACTGAAAAAAAGCATTTAGTTGTCTGTTTCTGGTCTCAGATTATACTCACAGAACTTGAGCCCTAAAGATTTTGGAATTCTATATGCTTGTCATTTGCTCTGATATGCTTTACCACTGCATCAGTGCTAAAGCTATTTTATTATTAACAGTGCTTGAGGGTTGGCTGTATGGAAAATGATGCAAACAGAACTCAGGCTTCCAGGTGACACTGTACTGCTTCATCATCCTGGCTAGGTTATTTTACAAAGCTCTTCCTGGCCACTGTGCTAGCCACTGGAGACACAAAGTACAGGGTCATGTGTTACTGTGCACCCTTCTCCTTACAACTGCTGGGCCAAAGCTTTGGGCTCACTGGTTATCTTTTGTTCTTCTCTGAACATCTTGGAGTCACAGGAGCTTACAGATTCTGGCCTCCTTGCCTCCCTGGGAAACTCAGAAGTCCTCTGTGCCTTCCTTGCTCAGATAGGGCACATGGCATTTTCTCTTCTGCTGCAGCCATGCCGCTGACTCAGAGCACACCTGCATTGCTGCTACCTTCTAGACACTAGAGAGGAAGTGGAGTTTAATTTCTCACTCCCATTTGGGACTTGGCTTGAGCACAGACAGATGGCAGGAGACTGGCTCCCATTTCTAACTTTAAGAAATCTAATCTATTGGTATGTAGGGGAATGGGAATGATTGGGGAGGCTAACTTTTCACTCCAGAATCTTTTGCTTAAAATATAAACATTGACTCTTGTACTTAAAATGTTCAGGTTCTTGAAACCTAAAAAACTTTTCTCTCTTAGCTATCCAAACTCTGGTATAAATCTCACAAGTCCGTTTTTTTTTGGTGGTACTGTGGTTTGAACTCAGGGCCCCACTCACAAATACATTTTGAAGTTTAAATCCCTGCAAATCATCTTCTTTTCTCTGTTTTTTTTCTTTTTTTTGAGACAGAGTGTAGCTATGTAGTCCAGGGTGGCTTTGAACTTGCTCTGTATCTCAGGCTGGCCTGGAACTCATAGTCTTCTTGCCTCTACTTCCTGAGGCAGGAGAATTATGGGGGTGCAGCACCCCCCACTCTATCTTTGTTCATTTTGGAAGTAATAGCACTACCTAAAGGTTGTATTTGTAAAACAACAACAACAACAACAAAAAAACCCAAACCCCTCTGTCTGAATAGTAGAGAAAAGGAAATTGCAGGGGGTAAAAATCCTGCCTTCGAGTGTATCTGACAATATGTCATTTAAGGGAGTGTTCTAAATATGATGATCTAGGTATGAAGTGTCAGGAAAACACAGAAGATAGCTTACTGAGAAATTTCAGGAGGATGACTTTTGCACCGAGATGAGTATGTGCTGGTGTGGAGGAAGATGAGGGGCAGACATTCCTAGCAAAGGGAATACCATAAGGAAAGGCAAAAGGTACAAGAAAGCCTGATATGTTAGGGGAACAGCACGTAGTTTCCTATGTTCAGGGTCAGGTCCCCCTGGGGATTTAGTGAGAAATACATAACAAATTTTCTTCAGTGAACAAATGAATGGGGAATGAGTACAATTACAGATAAAGAACAGCAGGCATTTGAGCTACTTGGGGGTAGTTTGCTCGGTTGCAGGAGTGACAAGAACATGGCTGTATTTCACAAGATAACTTTGGGAATGGTGTGCAAAAAGGATCAGGATTCTGAATTCAGCTAAAAACCAGGGAAAAGGCAATTCCTGATATTGAAGCCAGATGGACTCTTATTGGTCATCTGGTCTACCTTTCTCATTTGCAAATGTGGCCTGGAGGAATTAGATGACTTGCGCAGTCCTTCAAGTGGTTCGTGGCAGAAACGGCTTCTCGGACTGCACGCTCATGACTTTTCATGTTGGTTTCCCAGCAGGACCATATGGTGCCCAAGAAAGAGCTCCATTCCGCACATCTTCAAAGACGTTTGTGTGCGGCCCTGAGCACACCTTGCCGTCCCCGCTTACACCTGGGCTGGCTGATGTTCGGGAAACTGCGCATCCTCTCCTGCTCACTAGGTGGCACTCTGCACCCATTTGTTCTCAGTTTTCCTAGCATAGTTGAAGGGAAACATGGCTTCTTTATTATGTTTTTGGGGGACTTGAAACACCGATGAGCAGAAAGAATAGGCTCTGTTCTCCATTTCTGTGCCTAACTTTCTAAGGCTTGGAGGTCCTTTGATTTGCCTGTAGGAGAAATGGCCTAGTTGAATGGTTCAGGTGTTCAGATACAATGTTTCCATCAGAATGTGAGGAGAGAAGAAACTTTCTTTTGTATCTAGTTATTCATGAAGGCTTGGTTAAGGGACAAATATTGTCAGTATCTGTCTCTTTACCTTCCTTTATTTCTCATTCTCTCTCTACTCTCCTCAAATTTAAATTAAAGCGGTGTGTGAGAAATTCACTTGTAATTTATAGTGAGGAAATAGGAAATTGATTTCTCTCTCCTTTTTCCTAACAAAAGGAGAGGTTACAAATGCCTTTAGTGACATAGACAGTTCTTGGCTCTGAATCCTGGTTTCACCATTTTGCTGTTGTATAAATTCAGGCTATCTAGTCCTTCTTAGATTCCTCTTGCTTAAATATTAAATGTGTGCAATAATACTTATTTTAAAGAGTTATGTGTAAAGTAATAAAAGCATGCTATTGACTTAATACAGTACAGTACTGAGGAAATGTAGGTGTTGTGTCTGACAGTCACTATCCAAAGAGGCAGAGAACATGCTTCCCCTTTGGCTTGATCCAAGGAAATTCAGAACCAATTTTAACACTTAGCACCACGGCTCCACCTGGTTACCACATTTGCCTTCTCGATGACACTTCACACACACACACACAGAGCCAATTTAAGGTGGTTCAAACCAAGCATCTGTGTATACTAAGACTGTTTTGTTTAAACCACTTTTCTATTTGTGAAAAGTCAAGGAAGCTATAGATTCAATACATTAAAAATTTCCCTTTGGGCCCAGTGGTTCTTTGGAACCTACTCCAGTGGTATAACTTAGAAGAGAAGCATTTTGAGATCAAGACATTTTAGGAGTGATACATGGTCAGCTGGATAAGTGTGTGCTTTAAACATTGTGACCTACAGCTGGCTGATTTGCAGTTATTAGCGGGTATTGACTTTGAGAATTCTTTCTCCGGAGGGAAGAAGAATATATTTTGAAACTAAGATAAAAAAGAATAATCATGATTTATGCATTGAGATGCTTTTACCTGAAAAATATTGATGCTTTGAACTGCTCAAACATCATAGCAATATCAGAAATCAGAAGAGCAAGGATGTTGGAGCCAGATGCCTGGTTAAAATGTCAGTTCTGGGTCTTACTAGCAGTGCTTACTAGTTATGATTTAAGCAAGTGTCCGAAACTCTCTGCTTGCCTTTCCTCAACTACAAAATGGTCATGGTGTCCGTTTTCACAGATAGAATAAGAATTAGGACAGATACTATCCTAATATGCTTAGGGTACTATCTGGCATAGTAAATATTGTTCAGTGTGTTATCAAAATGAGAAAAGTCATCCTTTATCCCACCCCAATTATGAATCACTTGTAATATTTTGCTTTCTCTTCTGTTCATTTGTCTCACTGATATTTACTGCATAAGGCCGTAACTGTAACACATATGCAGTTTGTATTTAGTAATTTTAAACTTATTGTTATATGTCAGATAATTCCCATGTTTATAGCATATATGCAATCATTTTTAGTGGCTACATAGTTTTTTTTATGGCACTGGGATTTGAACTCAGGGCCTACCCCTGGAGCCACTCTACCAGTCCTTTTGTCAGGGATGGGTATTTTCCAGATAGGGTCTCACCAACTATTTGCCCAGCCTGCCCTCAAACCATGATCCTCCTGGTCTTTGTCTCTTTAGTAGCTGGGATTATAGGAATGAGCTACCAGCGCCTGGCTCTACATAGTTCTTTGAGTTGATGAGTTTATTTAGTTATTCCTTTATTTGGGGGCCTTTAACTATTTCCACTTTAAAAATAGATAGTATTTGCCAGGCACTGGTGGCTCACACCTGTAATCCTAGCTACTTGGGAGGCAGAGATCAGGAGGATGGTGGTTCAAAGCTAGCCCACATAAATAGTTCATGAGATCCTATCTTGAAAATATATAACACAAAAAGGGCTGGTGGAGTGGCTCAAGGTGTAGGCCCTGAGTTCAAACCCCAGTACAACAAAACAAACAAACAAAAAAAACAGTCCTTGGGCTAGTGGAGTGGCTCAAGTGGTAGAGTGTCTACTTAGCAAGCATGAGACCCTGAGTTCAAACCCCAGTACTGCCAAAAAAAAAATGGGTAGTGATTATATATGTTTTAGTTATTTTTAAATTATGAACTATATAATATAGTAATAAAGACAGAAGACTGTATGACTCTCTCTCTCTTTGTGTCTCTGGAGGTCTGTGTTTCTTTCTCTCTC